GACCCGAGATGCAAATTCATGATCAGTGTATGGCATATCAAACACAACAAGCTGTGAGTCAAATATAGCTTTAAATTAAGTTTTTGTTCATGGCTTAGATAAATAATACATTTTAAGTTATTTATTATAAATTTATCGTTACTGGTTACTATAAATAAAAAAATTCTTTATACTAGTAGAACAAATATGAGTTTTATCTTATTCTTCGTATTGATAAAAAGCTCAAACAATTACGAATAAAACACAATTTTCATTTCTTAACGTCTAACGACAAATAAATTCTCTGTTTTCATCAACAACAACGTTTTAATATGAGGTGTTGTTGCAAAAGTTAAGATGGTATATACAAACATTTATATGTGTGTGTGTGTGTGTGTGTGTGTGATGTGGTGTGGGCGTGAATATTCTCCAATCTACGACCCTCCTCCACACACCCAAGAGATTTTCTTTACATAAATGTTATATTAATCTTTTAATTCTTTTCGATCATACATTTATCATAAAATCAAATGTTTGTTATTTTGCTATGATGAAGAAAATAAATTGTCTCATTTATTTATTCAGAATTTGTTGAAATCAATTCTATGAACAAATCATCTAATTATTATTTATATTTTATGCATAATATTTTATGCATAAAACATCATCACTGTTATCTTTTCTTCTTTCATTATTATTTCAATGACAATTAACAACAATATCATCAAATCTTATTTTAACACAAAACCGATCAATTCATCATTCAAATATTTTTGTCCTTTTCATTCAATCACAGCTTCATCACATTGGATTTAATAAATTCAAAATGAAAATAACAAATATTTCATTATCATTATTATCAAAACAATAGATGAAATCAAATAAATTAACAAATTTATTTATTTTAAAAATAATTTTATTTGCACAAAATATTAATTCGGTTTATTTTATTTCATCTTATCATTCATTTTATTTATTCAGACATACAACTTTAAAACACGAAAATATTCTTCTGTCTTAGTTTTCTATCATATCAGATTATCTCATCTTCAATAGAATTTCAAACTCACTTCTACATGTATCTCAATCAAACCAGAAAATTTAGTTTTAATTATTAAAACACAATATTAAATTAATCACAACAAAACAAACAAATACATCAAATTTTTATTTTATTATTTTAAATCGAAAATCTACGAAAATTTAATTATTTTAATTACTACACTGAAAAAGATATTTATCAATTAATCAAATTTAATTTAATTACTAATAAAAATTCATTTTGAATTTTCACATTTATTTATTTTTCGCTCAAAATAAACAAAAATATTTTCACAAAAATTTAACTGAAATCAATATCAAATTTTTGTACTCGATGATTCCAATATTCAACAACATAGAGATTACCTTGAACATCAAATGATAAACCTGTGGGCTCATTGAACTGATTTGATTGTTCTCCCTTTCCATTTCCACCAAGAATAATACTACCTTCATAAGATCCTTCGCACCAACGCATTATTCGATCATTGTAGCAATCAGCCACATAAACATTACCCAAATGATCGACAGTCACTCCTTCAGGATTAGACAATTGTGTCAAACTATTCCCTTCACCATTTCCACCAGCAACAACAATACCTTCTTTTGCACCCTTCATCCATTTCATCACACGATGATTCTTATGATCGGACACATAAATTGATTGATCTTCATCAACGAAAATATAAGTAGGATTATCCAGCTGATTGAGATGATTTCCTTGTCCATTTCCACCTGCTACTATTGTTCCTTTTCTTTCTCCTTGTTTCCATCGTCTCACTTCATTCTTCGCACAGTCAGAAACATAAAGATTTCCATTATTATCCATTGTTAGACCTTGGCAATGAATGTCATAAATGATTGTTTCTACATGTGTACCATTTTGACGAGACCATCGTACCACTCGTCTGTTTATAAAATCACAAATGATAAGAGAATCATTCTTTTTATCAACAATCACATCTGCTGGACAACTCAATTGATCACTTTGATTTTCTTCTCTATTTCCACCAGCAACAACTTGACCATTCTTTGCTCCATATTTCCATTCGACAATACGACTATTTATCAGATCAGTAATATAAATAGTTTGCTGATCATCATTAACATAGATACCACAAGGACGGTGAAGTTGATTTAATTGATTGCCGTCTCCATTTCCTCCAGCAATAGTAATTCCATGTTGTTTCCATTTTGTGTTAATATTAATATGATTGCAGAAAGTTAGTTGTCCTAAAAAGGAAAAGATTTTTTTAAATATTTGAATGAGATGAATGAATAAATGTGAATAAAAAAGTGTTATTTCAAACTAATAAAATAAAAATGATTTGAATTAATTCAACTTAACATTTATTTAATAAAATCGTTTTTGTATTTATAGAATCAAAAGTGAAAATATTTAAATTTGTTTTTGTATTTGAAAATAAAATTTAATTAATTTCATCTGAATGAATTTGTTTACCTTTGAGAGTGCGGGTGCTAGGTAAATACAGTATCCACACTCACACCGTAAGAGTGACTTAATTCTATATGTTTTAGCTCTTTTCTGAGCGAATCTATTTCGAGTGGAAAACTATCTATATTTCAAAAATTATGCTGATCTATAATCATCATGGCATAGACTTATTCTCCATTTTTTGTAAGGAAAGAAGTTTATCGAATCATTGATGAAATGACTGATTGATACTTCTCAGAAGAAAATGATTGGCAAAGCTTTTTATTTGCCACTTTAGTTTATAAATGTTTGAGTATTATACATCAAATAGTTTTCATCAATATAACACTTAATATGATCGCTACGAAGTTTCGAAAAATTCGCAAATGAAAAGAAGTTTTAGTCTATTTGTGCACTAGTTTTAGAGTCAGTATTCATCATTTTTATTATGAATAACAAGTATAGGAAAAACAGAAATTTTATTCTTTTTTTAATGTACAATAAAATCGTTATTTGTTACATTTTATTATAATTGATATAAATCACTCATTTATATTAGAAATTCAATTAGACATGTCATGCTATAGAACTTGAATTATAAATGATATTGAAGAAAAGCTTTTTTTTCTCTTCTCTTTTAAACGTACATGAAAGTGTCGCTTTGATTTTTTTCGTATATTTATGAATCGATGCTAATTACTAAGTTTTTCATCTATATTCGCACTCGAATTAGATAACTAATGTAATATTAATATTTTCTTATACGATTTGCTATTGAATAGAGAGATCTAGATCTCTCACTTTGTTCATATAAGTATCATGATTTAGAAAGATAAATGAAGACCTAAATATTAATGTTATTGTAAAAATTGTGTAGCAGTCTAATAACAGGAAAATATAAAACATAAATAGAGCTGATGTCAGTCAATATTGAATGTATGAATTTGATTTCAATTTTAAATAATTTTCCCCTCATCTAAAATGACTAACTGACAAACATAAAACAAAACTATTTTAAAGGAATATTTAATTCGCTTAACTAATTTCACTTTTTTGAATTTTTAAAGATTATTTTCGGTGATAGAAAAATTCATATTTATATAGATCACTCCCTTGGAAATCAGATTTTCTTTCAATAAACTTACTGATGGAATTGTTTGTTTTATCAACAATAACATTGCTAGCTAAAGAATTTTCCGCTTTGAATGTAAGTAATTTTTGACGCCATTTCATACTCATATCATAATCACCTGTCTGTGATGCGAGTTTACCAAGATCTTCGTATAAACTGATATGTAATGGATCATTTGATGGAAGTTGTTTCAACGAACGATTAAAATATTTTTCAGCTAAATCAAATTTACCCATTTCCCATAATACATTTCCTAATCTCCGAAGATTTGTCTCTTCATTTTCAATTTGTTGTTTCATATACATAAGAACTTGTTTTAAATCATGTTCATCATCATTACATAGAGTCATTTTAATGATCCATATTTGATCATCACCACGATCAATACTATTAAGACGAAAAATGGAACCAATCATAAATAGAACTTCTGATTCATCTGGAAAATCACTATGTTGACTAATATCAGCAAATGGTTTTGTATTAACTATCTTAGGATCAGCATCAATTTCAAACAACACTCGTTCTAAATCAATCTGTGTAGTTATATCACCTAGAAGGAAGAGTGCTGTTGAACGTTCATCACTGGTGGAGAAAAATGAATTTACTGAAATGAATTGGTCAATATTTTGTTTAAGATTATTTAATTCATCGTTTGACATTAGTTGACATCGATAAACGCGTACAACCTTCTTAGATTGATATTTTTGCAATTGACGATAAATATCATAAATAAATGATCGGAATAAAAAAATCATATGAATATTTTGTGTGCGTAAAGCTGTATTAAGAATCTTGTAGAAGAATGATTCTTTTGTGTACCACCATAACACTTTATTAGGCGAATAATCTTGTTGAAATTCAAGAAGATTGTTTAGTTCGGTATAATTTCCATCATATTCATTTTGACAAAGATTAATAAGTTCAATTTTGTCTATTTCACTTGATTTTAATTGTAGAAGACAGTCAACGAGAATTTGAGAAAAAACAAATTGTCCATTAACTCCTGTTGTTGATTTACCTGCACCAATATTTGTTGTGAAAATATTGATTGACAATGGTTCTTCTACCTTTTTCTGAATTTTATGATCTGTTGTAATTTGAGTGACAAGTCCATTAAGATCAACAACAACAGATTTTATCTGTAGAAAAAATAATAAAATAAAATAGCAATCTTTTAGAAGAGTTTTACTTTTGTAAAGTTGTAAGTCCATTGTTCATTATTCTTCTTATCCATACAATAAACATAAATTGATATAAGTTGTCGAAGTTGATGAATGTAGGGTACTATTTCCCGTCCGAATTGACCATTAACAAGAAGTATTAATCGATCTTCTTCTGATCTTTGTTCAATATACTGTTGACATTGTTTTATATCTTGAAATTTCTTGATATGATTAATAATAGAACGTAATTTTTGTTCTGTCTCTCGAGTGTCTTTAACGTTCACATTTGCATCGAGCCAAATGATTGAGAATATTTCCAGAGACTTATCATCAGTGTTTGAGTAAAAATCATCGTTTGGTAGAGTAGCAGTAGCCATGTTAATTTACGAAACTAAAAATAGTATAAAATTCTCAAATGTTATATGTTTAAGAGGATTGGACAACTTTTCGATCGGTAAGATAAATGAAAAAATCAAGCGGAAAAATGAATTCTCATATAAGAAAAATGCTTTTGATCTCGGACATATACATACCAACTCCAGCAGAAAAATGAAAAATTCAGCTGAATAATGCTTTTCTCCATGAGAAAAATGTTTTAGAAAAATGGATAAATGTAGTTACTATGAGAACTAGAAGGTATTCGAGTTGTACTCGACTACGAAATGCGATGCGAAAGCAGAATTTCGAAATAACGATTTCAAGATTTTCACAAAATTATCTAGATGATTCATTATCTATTATCAGCTGCACTGTCAGCTGTAAAACAGTTGTTAGAGAAAAATGGC